ATTGCAGTCTTGCTGAGTCCCAGACAGTCCCAGTAAGCCTCCCAAGGCAGCTCGTGGAGCAGATCTTGTGGGAGCTGAACACTAACAAATTTCCTGCCACCTGGTTAGCTACCGGTTACAATTCTTTTGAGAGATTTTAAGCAGCTGTTGGTGCGATGAGACACTACAAACTAGATGATTTCCACTAGAATACAGAGAAGCGGCACCAGATGATGAAGCATGTTAAGTTTATACCAACCTGACACTATAAACACATGTACTGGGGGTTACAGTTCTGTGCTCTGAGATCAAACATCACCTGCAATTGTTAACACGAGGTGGGGGCTGCAAACACTGCCCTGACCACCCTGCCAGAGTCACCTGTTACACATGGTGCCAAGACACAGGTGCACTGGGCACAAAAAAACCTGCAGCACAAATTTCCTAAATTATCCAGAAATGGCAAAAAAGACCAAAGGGCACTGGACAGACAAAGGGCACAAAGTACTTGGGAATATCAGGTGCCTCTCTCAAGGAGTGTGTGTGTGGTACAAACGCTCTGGTACAGCCCCTCAAAATGCTCTGGTGTCCCCCACACCACACAAGTGCCTCACAGATGGGACAGGAATAGCTTTTGCATCAGGCTCCTGCCCTGGTTCCACCTGTGTGAGGTGTTTACAGGCTGCCAGGAAGGGTTTGGAGAGCTGCACTGCCCTGGCCGCAGCTCTGCTGCAGGACTGGGTGTTTGTGTGCCATGTCCAAGCTCTCCTCCTCAGTTCTGCTCCTCCAAACCTCCAAGAGCATCCCATTTTAAGAACACTAGGAATGCTAATATCTAAAGCAGTTTAAAAAGATTACAAATCTAAAAAGAAGACTAAAAAGGGAACTTGGCTCTAAAACATCACTGCATGGGACCAGCAGAAACCGACACCCTACGGGACACCACCGAGGTTTACATAAATTTATATACACATAAATATTCGAGATTTTCCTACAAAAATCACTAACAAAACAAGACTGGCATTTGAGGGGTGCAATGCCCCTTCAGTACAGTGCGTTGGGGATGTCCCATCCCCAGGGAGGATGGGCAGGGCAAGTCCAGTACCTCCTTTTCCAGCAGCTCCACATGCTGGGAGGGACAGTCGGCACCTGAGCACGCTCAGCAGCAGCTTTCCCTCCTCATCCTAAGCTAGGAATGACTCTCCATGCAACACAGCTCAGGGATAAAGTCAGTGGACCTGCACACCAGCTCTCCAGATGGGATTTGCCCCAGTGGAGCTGTAAGTGCTAAGGAAATCGGTGCTGGAGGAGCTGGACAGAGGTGGCTGAACGACTGAAAGTGAGGGCTCAGGCAACTTGTAAAAATGATACAGCTTGAAAGAAACAAATAAATAAATAAAATCCAAGCTCAAGTTTTAATTCAGGCTGGACAGTGCTCAGGTTTGACTTTGGAGGGAAACATTCTGCACTAAGCCAGCTCAGGGCCGTGGTGCTGGGGACACACAGTGCTGGGACACTGCAGCTCCCCCTGCCCAAGCTCAGAACTCCTGAGTGAGCTTCTCTGCCAAATTTTAAACCACTGTTCCCAATGTAACTTTGCATTTACCAGGATTAACTCAGCCACTTTTAAGTGCAACTCCTGCTAGAGCCTGGGATACTCTTGTACCTTCCCTACAAGAGGGGAAAAGTGGGCACTACTTACTTATCTGCTGATAATGCAGGTTGGGTTTTAACGAAGGAATGTTTAAATTGTTTTCTTACAGAGTTCAAGAAAAACTACATTAATACAGAACAATCCTAAACTCAGAGATTAGAGAGGAACATCAGAAAACTCAAAACAGCCACAATAAAACCAGGAATATTCATCTAGAGTTATGTTCTCCCATCATTCCCTGTAACTGGGATCTTGGAGTGGTTTCCCTTGGAGCATCTAACATCACTCTGGCACATAACAGACCAATTTCCTGTTCACACACCACCCACAGGCTCAACTGACAGGAAAGCAACCTCTCTCCAAACTCATCCCTTGCTAAGCAAAGAACTCAAACTGCAAACTTATCCTGGATCTCCTCATTCCCCATGGATAGCGGTGCTGCCCCTGGTCCTCATGTGCTGCCCACACTTTGGATCCCCTGTCAGAAGCCTGTGGAGCAACTCCAGGTGTGTCACAAACCTCCCTGGAGCCACAACTTCCCACCAGCCTCTCTACTTCCATGGAAGCAGCCCAGAGGGGGTGAGAAAGAAGAGGATTACTCCAAATGAACAGCACAACCAGCTCCCAGCACCGGGGGCACAGCTGCTCCAACCACCAGCTTTGTGTGACCCTCCCAGATGAACACAGGGGCATGGAGAGTAACAGACTACAACTCCCAGGGATCAGCCCCTTCCTCAGTCACTGACTCGCTCTGATCAGCCACACACAAAGCCAAAAAACCCCAAACACCTTATATTTTTTTAACCAAGAACACAATTTGCACAGACAAAGGCAATTTTAACCAGGGAGTGTTTAGGGACAAAGCCTGCAGATAGTCAAGCACATTCCCACGTGCAATTCAACACCAAGAAGAGGCTTCAGGCAAAATCGACAAGGACAGCCAAAGTGACATTGAGTTTAAGCCTAAAACTTGCTTTTCATTCCAAGGGGTCAATGAAAGACTTAATTAAATAAGGAACTCAAGCCAAATCATACAGGACTGTCCTCAAGGCCACCCAAGAGTGTTTTCTGGACAGAATAAATTACAAGCCTCTTGCAGCAAACCACATTCCAGGTCTAAAAGGACTATGGGCAAGAAGAAATGACTTAAGGAATATGCTACTGAAATCAAGCCAGGTATTCTTGAAAGTGAGAGGACTTGTTGGAATTTTGGGGGCCTGGTGTGGTACCTAAAGCATGCTGATGCACACCATGCTCCCATGCAGGCAAACATGTGCTTGTACCAACAGCTACAGCAAAGCCTGGGTGTGCAGACACCCCTCACTGTGCTACGAACATTTTCTCCTACCCAGCATGTTGAACACAGTTCCAGGGTGGATTTGACGTGCTCCCTCGTTAGTGCTCATGCAAAGACAGTGTGAAAATACATTCAGAATGGTTCTCTGGTGGGGAGTTCCCTTCCTTTCCTGGTGGTTTTTGTGCTGACCAACAGAGCTTTACCCTGCTCAAAAGTAACACCTGGAGCTGGTAACAGAGCAGCAGATAAGGGGGGAAGGCTACAACAGCCCTTCCACAGAGAGAGGGGAAAAACAGAACAAGGAGATGGGGGTGCAAAGGACAGTGGAGGCATTGAGATATAAAACCATAACGATCACGACTAACAAGGCTGTAATCACCTGCTGAAAGTGCCAAGTATGGGTTCTCTGTAGCTGTTCTAGATCCTGACTCTGGATCACCTAAAGCAGGATTATCGACAACAAAACACACCAGCAAGTCAGCAGCTGCCTAAAATGCCTTTTGAACAGTTAGATCTCAATAAAGCACAGTTTGTAGAGCAGAATTCAGACTTGATTTGGTTTCAAAATCAAGGAAACCTTGGGGTGGTTTCCGCAGAGTTGTTCTGAAGAGAAGAAAAACACTGGTATAAACAAATCTAAATGCAAGACAATGTGAAAATTATACAATATAAACACAAAGAAAGGTGGTTTGTTCTTAGAAACCCACCTAAGTCCTTCACAAAGGTGCTCATGAGAAAATTAAAGGGTTAGTGTATTACAAAAGCTTTAAAAAAGGACACATAATACCCCATTTGTCTATTCAAATCTCCAATTACTAGAACCATTTTTTAAAACCCAACTGGTTTAAACCTTTCTGCTGTTGCCTACTGTCTGCATTCCACTCACTCGCTCAGTGAGAGCCAATTAACCAGCTTCACTTTATGATTCTCATGCGTTCAGAAACAAAGCTGCACTATTTGGTCTTTAGCATTTCAGGAAAACAACTGAACTCAAACCAAAACAGAATTGTGCTTGGAGTGAAAATCCCACTGCCACCACCACAGGAGCCCATTCCCAGTTGGTTTTGGTTGCATTGCCACTGAAGATCGCCTCGCACACAATGAGCTGTTCAATTTACTGTTCAAAGATTGGAAACTCTCCCTTTGTATTTGTCAAGGTAGATTTATTTAGGCTGAAAACCAGCATTAGAGAGGACTTCAGCTCTGCAGGACTGGCTTTTTTTTTTTTTGGTTCTTGGCTTTGTAAACTTGCTTAGGTAACAACGTGGGAATAGGAGGAATGAAAGAATTGGTTTGTTGCACTCAAATGAAAATCATCAACTTTGAAAGGTCTTCGACAGCTCAGCTGTACAGAAGAACAGTGGCTTCTGTGACACTTTTTAAACCTCATTTTTAGGCCAGTACTGCTGCTTAAAAATGCAGAATGTCTCCATCGCACTGATATTGTGACAACTCAATACATTACACCACAGACATTTAACAGAACTCCATACATGCTATAAAAAAAGAGAAACAAAAAAAAAACAAAACAGGAAAAAAACCCTCAAAGAAAGGAAACAAATAAGACCGTAGCTAAACTGCTTTAAATACTGCATGCTACAGCACTTCACGTATCATCGCGATACGACACTGAAAGGTGACAAAAGGCTGAAGGGATTACAAAATATTTCCGGCAGGTTGGAAAGCTGCCTCCTTACTGTGGCAGAATTATTCCCCCTCCCCATTCTCTACTTCTAATGTTCATGGTTCTAGTGTTGAGTTGGCCATGTATTTTTTTTTTTAATCCATTCTAATGACAGTGTTTCCTTAACTTAATTAAATCCATCAGTGTGGTAGCTGGGGTGAGAGTCAGCTGTGAGCTGGGTTGTCTCTGTGGCTGATGCTGGCTGTATCACAATAGGTGCGTCTGAGGCCTCTGAAAAGTGAAGACAAAAGGCTTAGCACACCAAGAACAACAACAGCACTGTGTGCTTTGGTAAGCACAAGTCACATCTCGCTGCAACACTCTGGTAACACAGTGTTACACTCCTCTAAGAGCATGATGCTAATTCCCTGGTTTTCAGTGCACAGCAGTGTTTGCCTCAAGTCTGCGTGTGGAATATTTACTATACTTCCTTATTCCTGGAGAGCAGCTGATCCTCATCCACTATTCAGCAATGCCCACTTAAAACATCATGCACAAGGCTCGACAATTCTTTTAATGGTTGGTTTAATCCTACAGAAATAGCTTTAGGTCGTCATGAACAGTATTAGGTATAGCTACTAGGGGAGCAGGGTCAGCTCCTTCACACCTGACACAGTTAAAGCTGCTTTCACACCCCCAACCTTTGGGGTACAAGAGCCCCTTTCTGCAATCACACATCTGGCCAAGTGTTACCCCAGAGATGTGGAAGGAAGCTAAAATCATGGTCACTGATTGCTCTGAAGCTGATCCCATCGAGTTCACTGAAGACCCTCTGGGAGTTTTCAGCAACTCTATCTCCAGGATCAGCATCACCCACGTAACTCTTGCACCACAAGCACTCTCTGCTCATCACCCACACCCCGAGACCTGTGCTGATCTCTCCTCAACCAGCTCCCTGAGCACTCAGGCAGGGACTGATGCTCATCCTAGACATCTCACAGTGCTTTCACCTACCCCTTTCATCTGACTGCAACTGTGCCTCCAAGTCCTCTGGAGAGACGTAGAATTCCTGCTCTTCACCTTCGGGAGGTTTCGGTTTACACTTCCCACAGCAACAATTACAGCAGCAGCACAGACAGCAGCAGCAGTAGCAGCCTGTGATGAGCCCACAGAACACAAACAAGGCCTGCAGGGGACAGAAAACACAGCAATAGTCATAACCTGTGTCTACTGTGCTGTGACCGCAGAGTTTGTGAGACCTGGATATGGAACCAGGGAGCAAAAACACAGCGGTGCAGACACAGAACTCACTAGCCACAGCTTTATACTTCAGTATTTAAAAATATGTGCAAAACTGGCTATGGCTCTCCACATTTTACACTGAGGTTGAGTACTGCCAACCTGGTTTGCTTGAAGAACTCCTATGGTTTAGGCTAAGTGGACTATTCTGCTGCATCTGGAAGAAGGGACAGGTCTAAGAAGTGCAAGTGTATTAAAATGCAGAGGTACAACAGTTCAGGACAGATTGCTGCTTGCACAAATAACCCTGGAAAAGTCTGACCTGTGCTAGCTGATGCACAGGTTGTGCTGTACCTACAGCAGAGACATGGACCAGCCCAAGGCTGCAGAGCTTGGGGCACTGAGGTTTGATGCAACCACTGTGTCAGCAAGGCAGCTCTGAGTGAGCCAGGTCTGCCAGGTGCCTATCACAGGGCAGAATTTTCCTACAGGTCACTGTGCAAGTGTTCAAAATCAAAATTTTAAAGATAGCAAACCAGCATAGTGATATAATTATTCTCTTACTTGGAGGAATCAAGAGGTGGAGGCAATGTAAGCAGAGTCATGTGTAAGCTCCAGTTCACAGTCAGATCTTGTTTGACAATATCATTTAACAGATATTCCCTGAGAATACTCCCCAAACCCTCATCATTTCAATCCACTAAAAGGGTCCAAGGGTCATTTAGTAACCTAAGTCTTGCTTACTAAGCCTATATCACTGAAAGTTCATAGATAAACACTTCTGAGCTAGAGATCACAACACAGTCAGAGAGGGTTAATGACCAGCTGTCAGAAATTCCCTGACTTCCAAAAGTAAACCCAAGCACAGTTATCAAATGGAGCTCTATAAGAGTTTTCAATGTCAATCCACAAATAAATCCTCTCTGCATTTCTATTTACCTTTGCCCACCAGCTGGACAGCACGAAGTATGTGTTCACATTTTCTTCACCAAACTGCTCTGCTACATAGAGCCCCAGAGACCCATACTTATCGTAAATGTTCCTCTTTGTGGCATCAGTCAATATCGCGTGGGCATTATTGATCTCTTTAAACTTTTCTGCTGCCTCTGGGTTATCAGGGTTTTTATCAGGATGATATTTCAATGCCAGTTTCCTGCAGGAAGGGAAAATAATAATAATAAAAAAAGAGATCATTATAGATTAAAAACTGGGATTTGGGTGTCTGTTTTTTGATTTACTTTTTTCTAACTCCATAGCCTGCCACGCAAGGGACACTTTCAAGTTCCAGCTGGTTTCCTTCATCTCTGATTCAACTTCCCTCATGATTCTTCCTCAGATGATAACAAAAGGCTACAGCCATGTCTAGCTCAGTTCACAGGATTGACTTAACATTGTTGGATATTACCATCAGAAATCCAATGGGAAAAAAAAAAGAGACATTGAAGTAGTTGGGTTTTTTAACCCTCAGCTCCAGCAATTTCCACCAGTAAGTTTTTCTCCTGGCACAGCAAAAAGACACACTGCAAGTCTAAGGTACAGCACCAAAGAGTAAATAAAAGCAAGTTGCCAATGCTGCTTGAACAGTGTCTGAGCTGCTGCTTCTGCAGTGTCTGAACACAAAAATAGAACAGATGATCACTTGTGGTTAATTCACCAATTCCTGTGAAGGAACAAGTACTTTTCAGTTCAAGGTTTGCTAGAATAGAAAATGCTTCTGAGTTTCGAGATCCCCAGAAATCACAATGTACCTCCCTAATCAGGAGAGATCTCCTACAACTAACCAAAAATCAGATTAAGCACTGATAAATGTCTAGTTCTGACACAGACCAGGCTATATATAGAAACCAGTGGAAATAACTGGCCAAACACCTCCTTACAAACACAAAATACTCCCAAGCAGAAAACTGACACAGAACTGTGTGCTGGCAGCTCTCCACCACCAGAAAAGGTTCATGCCCTCCTACAGAAAATGACCACAAAGTCACATATGAAAGACATGAGGAGGTCACAGACGATCACACATCAGCTCTGCAGTGGGGAAAGGTTTAGACAAACACAAAATACAGCTGTGTGCAAGCACTGGGATGTGCCAGCAAGTGTATCTCAACGTTTAAACACCAAACTCAGTGTGCACTTGGAACACTCCAACTGTACATGATGCTGCTTATGCAGACAATGTTCACAGCTGCCACTAGTGCCTCAGCCACAGTGAGAGCTGAAAGAATCAGTTTTTGTAACTACAGGGAACTTCCATAAACCTGGACAGGGTTTCATCAGGCTGAAATAGATGAACACTTTTCACTTCCCATTTCCTACACACACACAAACCCCACAGCCCCTAGGCCAGCAAAGGATGTTCAGACTGAGACTGGTAAAGGAGCAGCCGAGGAAACAAGATGAGATGAAGGTTAAAGGTAAGTCTGAAGCAGCTACATCTCACCCCAAGATCTCATGGGGTTGTTCCTCCAAAGGAAAAACTGTTGCAGCTTTTTCCCCGTCCAAGAAGGTAAAATTATTTTCCAGTTGCTTAAAGATTACTGATTTAAATTTCCATTTGAAGATTTTTAGGAAGGCACAGCTGATTTTTGAGACTCTGTGGACCAGTTTATTTCTAGACTTCCCCATGTAGTTTCCATCAGTATCAAAAACGTAACTTGGCAGGGAAAAAGTTTTGGTAAAAGTTAAAGACTAAAAGAAAACAACTTTGACAGAGTATCCTCAGGGAAAGACGACGCTGACCCCTAGTGTAATGCCAAACACATTGCCACTTGCACACAGAAACGACTGCACTTAGCAGATTTTGGGGGAATGTGGAAAGGGAGGATGTTACAGGACTTGTTTTTTGCAGTTTTTATTTGGTCAATATGAAGCCATTTCATGTGTCTAACTCTCTGAGAAAAGAAACAAAGAAAAAAAACCTCTTTTGTACTAGTAATGCCACAATGAGAAAGGAATTCCGAATGGAATCTTAGGAAAAAGTAATTGTTGATACTCAGTTTTCATCCTTAATTGTATCTTTAATCTATACCTCACTGTGCCAGAAGTGGAAGTGATGGACAAAAGGGCAGTTCTGCACATCTGTGGTCCCTATGAGCCAGACATGAGGCTACATAACAGGAAGAGTTTAACTCTGATCACACTGTCTTAAAATTCTGCTCAACTTTAGACAAAAACCTTTCAGAATGACCCTGAGTATTTGAGATTTAACTTACCATAGTTGAGATGGAAAAATCTGAAAGCCTAGGCATGCTTTCACACCAAGTTTTGCAAGAACCAACCAAGTTTCCACCTATTTTTCTTACATATTTTTCTTGCAAAAGGTCTAAATAAACCAACTCATACATAAACAGACCATCTGCTGAAGAGTGAATTAAAGCCATTTGTGCTACTGAGATAGGTGTAAAACCTGAACCTTTACCTGTATGACTTTTTGATGTCATCTGAAGTGGCATTCTTGTCCAGCCCCAGCACGTGGTATAAGGATTCCCCAGAGGTAGAGAGCGAGCGTTGCCTCTGGTCTGCCATCTTGAGCTAACCTGAGGAGACAACTGGCCACTGCCAAAAAAATAAAATAAAATTAATAAATGCCTAAATGAAGAAGAAAACAGACCTAATTAATCAAATCATCCTCAAATCCAGAGTTTGCTCATGCAAATTCAGCTTTTATAAGGTTTAATTGTGCTTTAAAAAGTCTCTTGACATAGATGGAAGGCAAAAAGTTCTAAAACTCTGTGAATGATCATGAGAACAACTATTACATTTTCAGCACATCAGACACCCTGAATCAACACTGTATATATTCAACTCTTCTTTCCAAAAAGCCCAAATCAACAGCTGGGGTACAGCTATAACTACGTACTACAAAACATGTCCCTAAAGCTACTTCATCTTCTTTCTTAGTCCTAATATTGAGATAATTTATTGTGATGATACCTATAAAACCAACATGACAACAGAGAAGTTGCTGTTCCCTTGAGGCTGCACCACACTTGCATAGGGGTTAGTGACTTTATTTGTATTCTTAATTGCAGCAATCACATTAGAATCATAAAATCATAGAATTTAAGGGTTGGAATGGACCTTACAGATCATCTAGTCCCAACCCCCTGCCCTGGGCAGGGAGACTTCCTCACTAGATCAGGTTGCTCAAGGCTTTATCCAACCTGGCTTTGAACACTGCCAGGGTTGGGGCAGCCACCATGTCCCTGGGCAACCTATACCAGTGTCTCACCACCCTTACAGTAAGAAACTTCTTTCTAATATCTAACCTAGACTTTGCCTCCTTCAGTTTGAACCCATTAAAAGAAACCCAAAAGCTCAAACCTCCCCACACCTCCCAAACCCCAGTCCCACATCTTATCACCAACACCAGGCTGAGGAGAATCCTTAGACAAATCCAGTTTGCCTAGATCTGTGCACCTCACGATGACAGAGGGAACGCCTGCCCAGAGGGATCTCCTCTCTTGTAATTTCAAGTTGTGGATCCAATATTTAACATGCAATCTAGCTAAAATCATGGCTCTTGAACATGGATTAACCTCCTGCTCCTCATCCAAGTGTAACAGACCCCAGAGGTGTCCCCTGTGCCATGCCAGGGGCAGATCTGGTTCTGTCCTCTCCCACCCTGAGGAGATTAGCTTTGCTGTTCTTTAGCTGCAGAACTGCAGCCAGGATGAGCATCTGAGAAAAGACTATTGGCTATTTTTGGATTATGTCATTACAATTAGCCTACACCAGATTATGCAGCCTTTGAAAAAGATATTTAAAGCACCAGACTTTTCAAATTTAACCCTATGTCTTATATAACAAAGTTAATAACTTCAGCTTTCTAAAGGCTGGCTGAAAGAAATGCTCTCAGGCATCACACCTTGTGCTGCCTGGGTGGAGCTGTGACTTCACACTTGCCAAAGCCACAGCTCTGCTCCTTCCAACACATGGGGAGTGTCACATCTGCCCAAGGGTGATCAGGTGACAAGGATGCGGATAAATACACTACCACTGTCTTGTTCAGCTCAGACTCTGCTGCTGATTACTCTCCCACATTTGGCCTCTCTGACTTTACATTCATATTACCCTGGGCACCATGTCCAGTTGTTCTAACTGGAATACACTGGATAAACCAAATTCTCATCTAACCTCCTTCAAGAAGTCTTTGGCAATTCTACTAAGTTTAATTCAAAGCTGCCTAATAGGAAGCTATAAATTATTACTATTGATAATAAAAGGCCTAAACTCGAATGCTTTGGCTAAGAATTCAAACTACACCCCAAATCTAGAAGGTGAATGTGTGGGTAGGAAGAAAAAATCTTTCCTTTTAAAGGATACTGTTTAGCTACCACAAGCTTTCTGTATGGGAGGAAAACTACTGAGTGCTGCAAGACACAACACAAACAACTCATTTATTTGGGCATAATCTGATTCAGTGAAAGGAAAACCACATTTCAGGATAGAAATCCCCCACACAGGCACACAGGCACAACCCTCCAGGATTGCCTTTTCCCATCAGCAGCCTCCCAGCCCCCTCTGCCCCGGAGCTGAGGTCAAAGACCGATGGTCCTGACGTCTCTCTGGTAATCTAGCTAATCACACCAGGCTGCTCCCACTGCTCCCTGCACAGCTCCTGCTGCTCTGTGACCATCACAGCTTCCTCACCCCTCCCAGGAACCTCCCTGCAGCTCCTGCCAGCAGCACCCAGCCAAGGGGAGTGTCTGGCACTGCTGCTCTTTGACAGGGACCTGCCAAGTCAGGAGCAGGGACAAAAAAAGGCATCCTGATTGGAATTGTACATTTTAATTTAGCTCTTCCAAAGAAGATATTGCTTCAAACCAGAGCTTCCAGGGCATTATGGATATTTGTGCTGTTACAAGCTGCAGCTCTAATTGAGCACAACAAGCTTCCTGTAACATCAATCCAACGTGCCCTTGGTGACAAGATGCTGCAGATCACAGCTCTACACCGTGTTCTGCTTAACGAAATCTCCACTGTTAAATTAGAGCCAATTTGTGTAACAAAAATGATTCAGTTTGACCCAGGCAGTATCTATCGGTCTGCAGGCACAGGAATACAATTCCACACTGCTGCATCCTTAATCGCTTCCATCTGCACAGTCCAGAGGATGCACAGTTTGGTGTAATGGGGAGTTTGCCTTTATTTCTCCAAACTGGTATGAAATGGACAATTTGGCCTTGGCAGAAGAGTGGAGGGCAAGGTGGTGATGGGAATTCATCTGGGAAGCTTGTTATTTAAGGGAACAGAGAAGTATTACTAGCAGGAAGGCAACCTTTGGCTTTTTAAATATGAAACAGACAATAGAGGTGCAAACTGTTTAAGTCCTGAGTGTTTCACAAACCAGGGTATCATCTATCCTGCTGTTTTCACATGTGGCTGTAATTCACAATCCTGAAAGCTGCTCTGTATTTTTAAAAACTGTTGTATTCAGAGGCCTCCAGCCATCTGCTCTGTATTCTAACCAAGCAGGATGCCCTGAAGAGGTTTCTCTGGGAAGGCTCTGGAGAAAGGTAATCCCCTGGATTAACCAGCCCAGTGTTTAACCATCTGTGTACCAGAATATCCTGCCTTACTCAGCTTTACCATGACTG